TAAGAATAAGTTAAGTTTTTAAAACTTTTCATCCACTTTAATGTTTAGTAATTACAGATTTTATTTCAAATGTTACACAATTTTAGTGGCAATACAAATGACCCATTTAATACATAACGGTAATATTGTTAAATGTCTTTTAAGTTGACTAGTAAATTCCATTTAGACCTAGAATTTACTAATGAGTTATTTTTGTGCCTATATAAATCATTTGGTGGAGCTATTCTAAAAAACATATAGACTGAAATTTATTCTTGAGTTTTCTAAGTTTTCCCTATAAAACTTTCCTAGCTTTGTCGGCCTATCTTTCCAAGCTTTGTTGAGTTTCTTAATTGCTCAGCTTTTGTCAAATCCATTTCAACTACAAGCATATCATATTTTCTTGTGTTTTGGGCAACTCGATCAGTGTCAAGTTCACTCTTTTCTTCCAGTGGACGTGACCATTGAAAAGGTGTTGCTACGAGCATTTGGGTTGAATCTTGGAGTCGCTGGTGTCCGTCAATACCCTCACGTGGAGAGGCTCATTTTAGAGGCCGAGTATGAGATTGTTGATGTTGGAATTAAACGGTTTATGATCTCTAATTTTAATAGTTATAAAATGGTGGAGAATAAACCCGTTGGTAATCAAATTCATGAATATCAAGAATTTTTGAGAAAAATCAAAAAAAGTGGAATTACATTTAGTGAAGATTTTAAAGTTTCAAGCTTAATTGATAAACTTTCACCTTTTCGGGATAATTTTGCTAAGACCCTTAGACATAACCAAGGAGAATTAACCTTAACTCAAACTATAAACACGCTTAGGGTTGAAGAGAAGCATAGGGTTAGTACAAACTCACAAAATGAGAGATCCCCTAAGGTAAACCTAGTGGAAAATAGTATCAACAACCATAACAATTTTCGACCTAGGGGAAGAAATTTTAAGAATAAGAGGTTTAATGGTCGTCCTAATAATGGTCAAAAACAAAACTATCAAAATAATAATAATAATAAGTTCAAGGGCTTAGGAAGAGAGAGGATGCCTTGTTTTTTTTGTGGACGAACTAATCACTTGGCTAAGGATTGCTACTACAAGAAGACTAAGCCATATAAGCCAAAGCCCAAGCCAAATCAAAGAGGTCCAAGAGCCCAAGTCAATGTTCTAATGGATGGAGATAATTCTGTCAAACCCTCCTTTAGGTATAATCGTTCCCTAGTTAATTTTACTTATCAAGATAAAGATTGGTGGTTAGACTCTAGGGCTAATATACATGTTTGCTTTGATCGTGATTTATTTAAATCTTATCAGAAATCAAGTGGAGGAAGTGTAACGCTAAAAAATGATTCTGTCGCACAAGTACTTGGAATTGGAGACATAGAGTTAAAGATGACATCTAGGAAGACATTGACATTGATCTTGAAAGGAGTGCAACATGTTCCTGAAGTTAGAAGAAATTTAGTCAGTGGGTCGTCCTTAGTCCAACAAAGTTATAAGGTTGTAATGGAGTCAAATAAATTTGTGATAACTAGGAATGATTTATTTGTTTGCAAATGATATGTTTGTGATGGTTTATTTAAGTTGAATGTACTTTCGGAAGTTAATAAAATTTCTCATCAAGTTTTCACTGTTGAATCTTGTAATGTATAGCATGGAAGATTAGAACACATAAGTTTAAAGAAAATCAAAAGGATGATAGATCTCAATCTTATTCTCAAATCTCATGTAGATTTTAAACATAAATGTGAAATTTGTGTATAAGCCAAACAAACTAGTAAACCTCATAAGAGCGTAGAAAGGAATACTCAACTTCTAAAACTTATATATAGTGATGTATGTGATTCTAATAGACCACCAACAAGAGCCAAAAATAAATATTTTGTGACTTTCATAGATGATCGTTCTAAATATTATTTTATTTATCTTATCAAGAATAAATATAAAGTATTTAATAAGTTTAAAATATATAAAAATGAGGTTGAAAATCAATTAGAGAGAAAAGTGAAAAGATTAAGGTCCGATAGAGGTGGTGAATATACTCTAACCGACCTAAGTACATTTTGTGAAGAATATGGAATAATACATGAAGTGACTCCTCTTTATTCTCCTCAATCAAATGGGGTAGCTGAAAGAAAGAATAGAACTTTAATAGATATGGTAAATTCAATGTTGATTAGTTCCGGTTTGTCTGATAATTTGTGGGGGGGGAGCTATACTTAGTGTTTGTTTCATCTTGAATAGAGTATATGTTAAAGATAATGAGAAAAATCCATATGAGATATGGAAGAGAAGAGTTCCTAACCTTAGTATCATGAAAATGTGGGGGTGTTTAGCTAAGGTAGCTATTCCCGAACCAAAGAGAAAGAAAATAGGTTAAAAGACTGTAGACACCGTCTTTATAGGATATGCTCAAAATAGTAGTGCTAATAGATTCTTAGTTATTAACTTGGAAATTAGTGGAATTTCAAACAATACTATAATTGAATCTAGAGATGCTACATTTTTTGAAGATATTTTTTCTTTTAAAAATACAATGCCTAGTCAAGTAAGAGAAACACCTTCAACTAGTGATCAATCTTCTACTAGTTCTATTGCTCCAATAGAGAAAAATATAGAACAACATGTAGAGCTAAGGAGAAGTAAAAGACCAAGAATAGATAAGGACTTAGGAGAAAGATTTTTTACTTTTCTAGTAGAAGGAGAGCCAACGATATATAAAGAAGCTATGTCTTCTATAGATGCACCTTTTTAGAAGGAGGCTATTAATAGTGAAATTAAATCTATATTGTTTAATAATACTTGGGAGATAGTAGAATTGCCTCCTAGAAGCAAAGCTATTGGGTGTAAATGGGTATTTAAGAAGAAATTAAAACCTGATAAGAGTATAGATAAATATAAAGCTAGATTGGTGGCTAAAGGATTTACTAAAAAAAAAGGAATAGATTATTTTGATACATACTCGTCTGTAACTAGTATTACTACCATTAGAATACTAGTAGCTCTAGCATCTATCCATAACTTAGTAATACATCAAATGGATGTTAAGATCGCTTTCCTAAATGGGGATTTAGATGAAGAAATATATATGGAACAACCTGAGGAGTTTATGGTGAAAGGACAAGAACATAAGGTTTGTAAGTTAGTGAAGTCTTTATATGGCCTTAAACAAGCTCCGAAACAGTGGCATGAGAAGTTTGATAAAGTAATTCTAGAGTATGATTTTCA